AATTTGACACCGTCCATGAGGATATATGAGGATACGATACTAAGATTACATCATTTAACCCCAAAGATGGATGGTTTAGTACTAAGAAGATCTAGAAACGAGTAATTAATGTGGTTAAAAGGTTAAAACAATGCCATAAACCACCCATGACTGGGAATGGTCAACATACCATCTCTTCGTGGTGAAATTGGGGATGGTTTATGGCATTGTTTTGACCACATTACAAATTTTGGGCCCATAGTTTTGCCCCATTGCCACTTAGGTATCCCAGCGACGCGGCATTGGCAAACACGCTGATGGTCTGCCAGTGCCTGGCCTCAGAACAAATATACTGTATATGTATATATATATATGTATACAAACACCCTGGTTGTGGGTTATGAAATAGGGAGTTCTACTACCTGGGTTATTGTGCTTTGTTATATCCCATAGATTCCCATAATATGTAGGGAAACTGTTCCCAATTCCACTGCAGTTCAATTTATTTCATGTATGGTATGGTATGCTTTGATGATTCAAAATCACTCATTCGACAATGTAGTTAATCATGTTAATCTTCATTTTCACGAATTGTGTATGAATAATTCCACCATAAAGTGTCAAGTAATTCCATCGGGCTCCCCAGTTTTGCATTCGCAACGCGGACCATAAAGGGTCTAGGTAGGTTTGTTCAAATGACCTACCCAGAAGATCCTAGAAGTACAAATAAAAAGGAGGATGATTACCCCAAATGCCAGGCTTATAGTTATGGCCATTTACCAGTTATAACTGGTTATAAATGCGATTATACATTCTATAAATGGGGTTATAAGCACTTGTAACTAATAAATGACCATAACTGTACCATCTGTTTCTTCATGAAAAGGTTCGAAATGATGTTTTTCCTACCTGTATATACAGTATGCTCCCTTTGTTTTTACTCACAACAATGCACCAGGACTTCCCCCCAAACAAAAGCCCAGTCAGATATTTTTCCACCGTGGGAAATACACGGAAACCATGGTAGCCTCAAAAAGAACTAGTTTGGTCTGTGGTTTGGAACATTTTTTATTTTCCATAATATATATATATACATATCAATATATGGGATGTCATCATTCCCATGGACTTTCATATTTCTCAGAGGGGTAGGGCTCTACCACCAACCAGTAGTTTGAATGGTCTTGCTCAACGGGCATTCCCCCCCCACCAAGGGTGATGATCATAAAATGGCCAAGCAGCTCATTATTGCCTCATTGCATCTCATTGCCTCCTTGCTATATCCCCAGCGAAGTTGAATCACCATGAAATCGCAGATCAGCCAAGGACCTATGGTTTCGTGGATGGTTTCTTCTATGCTGCAGAGAAACTTCACCGACATCAGCTGCTAATGCACTGGTGCTTCGAGCACAAGGATTTTCCACCAAATGGGACCAACTGGGACGCTGGAAAAGGCTGGCTGAAAGTGGAATAGTTATTGAAAATTGCCATTTATAGTTGATTTACCCATGAAAAATGGTGATTTTCCAGTCATGTTAGTTTACCAAAGGCTGTTTTTTAGGACGAACATGAAATTTAGGGACTCAATGTTTCTCGACAATCGATCGCACTGGTCGTTTTGAGATACTGCAACTTGAAAACACATCCAGCTGGTCCAGCTCTATAGATTGAAGGGGAGCCCGAAGATGTTCTATACTTGTAGATGTTTGAGGATTTCTGTTGATGGTGGAATGAGTATGCATTCCCCCGCAAGTCCTTAGGTCACCTAGGTCCCTGTCTTGAGATATGAAGTCATCTATCACGATTTTTATCCAGTAAATTTCCAGAGAATTGCCCAACTAAATCATTTGTTAATCAACAAGACTGTTGTGACATCCGAATTTTCATTTGAAGTCCCAATAAATATAATTGTCGTTTTTTGTATATCAATCAGTTTTCATTTGATCCTGTTTTCTTTTCATCTTGTTTCATTGACAACAGTTTTCAACAATTTTCGTTCATCAGGGGGGTTCAGTTAGAACCCCATCGGAGTTGGTCAGAGTTTTGTCCCCAACTTTTGATGGCTCATAGTAAATAAATAAAATGTAATATATATATATATATTATACATATAACATATATAATATGTTTGATGTGATACATATATATATATCATATATGTGTATCATACATACATACATACATACATACATACATACATACATACATACATATATATATATATATATTCATGCAATATCATGGAATACATATGTGTATATACAATTATATATATGCGGGATATCTATGTATATGGGATTTATAATATGCATGCACGTATATGTATATATATAATATATACATATACATATATATATATATATATATACATACATGTCACCCACTTTCATTGCGCGTTACAACAGCGACACGGATCCTTCCAGGATGCTCGGCGTCTCCTAGAGGTCTGCAAACGCTGTGGACCCGACCAAAGCTTGTGGGTTCAGGCGAGCCACGGTTGCTCAAGATCTACGGTGCTCTCCGATTATTTAACACGATATATAGGGGATATCCTGCATTTCACTACATTAACATAATTTTGGGGAATGGGATATTGTGGGGGGTTGCTATGGAGAATGAGCCATTTGCCTATTGAGCACGGTGATTTTCCATAGCTGTTTTAAATTACCAGAGAGCATCATATTGTCGTTGTTCTAATTTGTACTACTGGAATGTGTCAAGATTATAATTGTGTGCTTTCATTTTATCATGTATTGATATATTGTGTTATAGGTATGCACAGATGAATAACATTACACAAGTAAATGGATAAAGAGACGGTTCTATCGTGTTCTATGTAGAAGTGCACATTGAATTGGATTATGAATGGACCTTTTCGGCCACATCACGTTTTTGAAGATTTGAAATCCTTGCGCCTAGTATAAGCTAGTGCTCGTCTTCATGGTCCCATAACTTCTGATGCGTCCTAAGAAGTGCTCTTGGTATGCTCTTGGTTTATTTGTGTAATATATATATATATGATTATATATGTATAATGATGTTTTCATACGTGCCATAAATTTCTACAAGGCACTATCATTGCAAAATACTCCCTACTTTGAAAAGAGTGGAACTGGAATTTAGCCACTGGACTTCACATCGTTTCAAGCCCCACGAGAATCGGAAGTATTTGGCAAGCGGCCATGGGAATAGGGGTCCGTTCTTGTAGGCTGGCTATTATACATATTTATACACATGTGTATATATATATATACAGTATATATATATATACAGTATATATATATATATAGAGAATATATATATATGTGTGTCTATATACACACCTTCGATATATGTACAGAATGAGATACCTGCTTCCAGACTAGGTTGCCAGTTCGGCTTAGCTCGTTTCAAGGTTTTTTTGGCATTCATCTGAACTCTGGTTACAAGACAGAGTTGTGGACTATCTTGATCCAAGCTAGCTTGTGCGGTCATATGTCCACTACGGCTTGGAAGCCTGATTGGAATTTGTTTTTTTGCTGGAACTTCTGGAGGAGTTAGGAATGCATGTTGTGATGTGCTTGCAAGGCTTGTCTGTTTGGAGAATAGACGGATACCCTCTGGTTATTTAACATAGCCATGGAAAATGGTCCATTTATAGATGATTTACCTATTAAAAATTGTGATTTTCCATGGCTATGTTAGTCATAACCAGAGGGTATGTAATGCCAAACTTTTCTGCTTGTCCCGTAGGAAACCATGCTGCCATGCAAAGGTTTGTACACGAGCCTGCCGGCAAGAAACCACAGAAGCAAGAAATTGATTCAGATTCCGCTCTCCACATTAAACACCGGTTCCGGAAACTTAGGAGGAGAGCTTCTTAAAATGGGGGAACCTCGATAATTATCCAAAAACAACTGTGCTTGTTTAAATAGGACATCATGACATCCGTTGGTTTTGATGCCCCTTCATTTTAAGAAGCCGCTGAGTTAAAAAAACACACGGCTGCCCCATCCAAATAGTTTGTAGGTTTGGATGTTGGTCTTCTCTTGGTAGGAATAGGTTTGGACCCATCTCAGCCGTAGCTGAATCCCTTTCCCTCTTATTGAAATGGGAAGAAATTCACATGTGTGATTCGTGAAAATCCTCATTTGTTTGGTGGTTTGGAACATGGCTTTTATTTTCCACAATAGTTGGGATGACGATCCAATCTGACTTTCATATTTTTCAGAGGGGTAGGTCAACCACCAACCAGATTATTATTAACCACGAACCAGCCATCATTTTTCGTATCACAATCCTCCCCTTGGGATGCCTCGCTCTCGGTAGGCCTTGTCCTTCCTGGCTTCGCCGGAGAGCGGTGGAGGACACCTGGAAGAGATTCAGGAAGTGCTGCGGCATATCGAGGCGCAGAAAACAATGGCGCACAACGGGGCGGGCCATGGCAGCATGAAAACTCTAGGGTTTCTACGTAAAATTACATGCGAAATCACTGGTTCCCTTTGGAATTCATCTAGAAATGGTAAGTGTGGAACAATCGAACTAGTACTTTACAGGACTGTATGTATGGACACCAGCATTTCTACAGCACTAATTGTTTATGTAAATTAATTCAAACATGTATGTATACATGTCTGAATGCAATCTATTGCGAATGATTTGATTGAAACGTGGAAATTGAAGGATTTCACTGGGGGTCGGCCAAGCCATAGAAATGTTGATCCACAAAGATGGACATTTGAGTACTTCTTTGTTGGTTTTCATTTGGGTCAAAGCCTAGCAACTCCGAAGCCAGTGAATGGTTCCGATATGTTCCCATGGAAACGATGCACTGAAAACATGTTCGAGAGTCGGTGGTGCCAAAGATTTTCCCCAAAAAAAGCCGGGGCTACCCACCATTATCATGATGATATATGATCATTGATTACGTATATATATATATAATTATTATATATTATCATATATCCCCAAAGAAGGATACAACTTTTGGCACTTCCAGGGTCATCCATTGTTGAAGGACAGCGATTTGATGCCGCTGCTTCTGGTCATTGAGACCTTGCGCCATAGCGAAGAGGCGCGGCTGTGTCACAGTCAAAATGGGTTCGTTTCCTGTGGGGGATAGGAATAATCAATCCATGTTCAATTTGGGATGTAACAACCCCTGATGTTTGGATGTTCAATACCGGATGACCATAAACAATATAGCATCATAATACAATATACCATGTTTTGACCATGGCACAAGTAGCAACCCCCAAAGATGTCGATGAGTTCGAAACCTTGAAATGATGTGCAAAACATCATTGAACTACCATCCTGGAAATACCTTTCTATCTTTTGAAGGGTTACTGTATTGTACATGATTATAATTTATCCCTTCCCCATATGTACCCCAACCGAAACCTTAGTTGTGGTGGCCCATATGAGGGGTATTCAACTTTGGGGAATGGGTGTGGTTTAATGTTATTAACAGTCAACAGTTGTTATATATCATGATTATCATATGTTTATGTTTAATTATGATTGTGACTTTATGATCCTGATGATGTTTTCAGTTACTGTATCATGATTATCATACGTGTTTAACTTATGAATAAATCATATATTAACATATATTCTGTAAATTATAAATCATATAGTCACAAGATAAGCATGACTAGCACGACGTATTCATCTTACATGTGGGAATCATTGTTTAAATTATACATTCATTATACACATGATTGTGATATTATTAAATTATGATCCCATTATCAATGATTATCACTGTGGTAAAAATTTTCATAGATGGAATACCCGGTGAATAGCCATAATAAATCCTATGTATTATTGTGTTTTTGGGTATTTGATTTGACTATGGTAATAAATCCTATGTATAATGGTATTATTATGGGTATCCACCGGTATAAATCCATATGTGATTTGATGATTCTGTGTTTGGACTCATCGTTTCGACTCATCGTTTTCCCACATGGATGGCCAGGTCACCATCGGCGATGTGCGACCATACCTGCAGGCACAGCACCATCGTCGGTCGCGAAGAAACGCAGGAGAAAAAAAGAGACGTTACAGTTATGGCCATTTATTAGTTATAAGTACTTATAACCCCATTTATAGAATGTATAATCCCATATATAACCAGTTATAACTGGTAAATGGCCATAACTGTAGTGGTCTTTGGATAAATGGATTAATGGATTCGTGGTCTTTATCTGACCAAATTTGGATGACTGGAACATCATGGAAACATGGAACATCTACATGAGTTTATGTTTTTCAGTGCAACATACAGGCTACATACAGGCTACATAGAGGTCTTGATTTTCAAACGCCAAATGCTGCGTTGGGGCTCTTTCTCCACTGTCACCTTCGGCATCAGGACTAAGGACTGATCCATTGAGTCTTGGGTTTGTTCGTTTCGGGGTCCCATAGAATTACCCGGCCTGGTAAACCTACAAAAAGCTATTGAAAATGGGTCGAAATAGTTGATTTACCCATTCAAAATGGTGATTTTCCATAGTTATGTAAATGTTTACCAGAGGGTAGCTGGGATTGCTTTAAATTTGGAATCGGTTCAACCCCAAACATGCTAGCACCTGGACTTGTTGCATGACAGCATGTTTCCCCTCATGGTTCCCCTTGTAGATTCAGACATGGACCCAAAATCATCCATAATGCAATTTCCAGGCAAATATAGCTGGTTGGTGGTTTGGAACATGTTTTATTTTCCATCATATATGGGATGTCATCCTTCCTATTGACGAACTCATGTTTTTTCAGAGGGGTAGGGCTTAACCACCAACCAGATTATGGATTATATACCCTCTGGTTATTTAACATAGCCATGGAAAATGGCCCATAGAAATAGATGGTTTACCTATTATATAATAGCATGGTGATTTTCCATGGCTATGTTAGTCATAACCAGATGGCATTCATCTTCTCAGTTCTTCCCTATTCCGTTTGAATCCCCATCTTTTCGCAGGCACAATACAAGCGCCTGGTCGATGCCCTTGCAACGTCCAGAGGGAAGTCCTCTCAGGCGCTGGGTTCAGTGTTTGGTACTTGGGGTTGTACTTGGGGCATCTTGGGGCTGCAGTTGAGGATAGAAATAAGTCTTTTCCCAAACTCCCCTGACACACCTAAGGGGGTGCCCGTCAGTTTTTGCCGAGTTCTCACGCCTCAAGGGAGGTTTCATTGGCTCGAAGACCTACACTGCACTACTTTGCGAATTTTCTCTCTCAGTATGATGCCATGGTTATAAAATGTTATAAACCCCCATCCGTATGTATACGTTAGGATACAACTCCTGTAACTATGATTACATATCCACTTATAACTGGAACTGCGCTCCCAAGTATCCCCTATCACTTGGGAATACTTGGTATACAATGGATTATAGCCCCTTCATTAAAGAGTAAACTTGCTCCATGGCTCATCTAAACAGTCAAGGATAGTAGTATCGCCTTGGTTTGGAGGCAGCAACATACCACGTGGTATCCTCCGGTTTTGTAATTTGGCAATGTCTAATCTGGCAATGGACCTTCAGCATGTTTGTTTAACAGAAAACACACGTATACAATATTATAGAATACGATCGTATGCTACACATGAATAAATTATCTATAAATTACTGTATGTATGTAGAATAGCATATATGTATTTAAATTATGTGATATGTATATATATATATATTGTATATATATGTATATTGTATATATATATATATTGTATATATATATATATTGTATATATATATATATATATGTTTATTGTGTATATATATATATGTGTTTATTGTGTATATATATATATGTTTATTGTGTATATATATACACATATATATATATGTTTATTGTATATATATATGTTTATTGTGTGTATATATATATGGTTATTGTGTATATGTATATATATATATGTGTGTTATTTTTTGTACACATTATGATATGTAACTATACAACTGAATATCAGCCACAGTTCCCAGTGATCTCGCTTGATCTCCAGGATCGTCATGAGATCGTCCGGATGCAGCAGGAAATTGTCCAGCTACGGACCGAGGCGCATCCGTGGGGTTCAAGGGACTTTTGCAAAAAAAAGGGGATAGTTTCACTTGATTATTATCTATTGTTATTTAGCATTATCATTCTATTTCCCCACCTGCCAGGTGAGGGTTGTTAGATTTTATGTCAGTTGCCTCCTCCTTCTCCTACTCCTCCGCCTCCTCCGCCTCCTCCTGCCTCGTCCTCCTCCTCCTCGTCCTCCTTGTCATCCTTGTCGTCCTTGTCGTCCTCGTCGTCCTCGTCGTCCTTGCTCAACTGCGATCCGCGATCCATAGTGTTCTCTGCCGGACCTCAACCACGACCACCCACGCCCAGTGTTCCCTGCCGGACCTCAACCACGACCATCCACGCCCAGTGTTCCCTGCCGGACCTCAACCACGACCATCCGCGCCCAGTGTTCCCTGCCGGACCTCAACCGCGACCATCCGCGCCCAGTGTTCCCTGCCGGACCTCAACCGCGAGTATCCACGCCAAGTGTTCCCTGCCGGACCTCATGTAGGAAGATATGGGACAAAGATAGAATGCCAGAAGATATGCCGGAAGATATGCCAGATAGAATGCCAGAAGATATGCCAGAACATATGCCAGAAGATATGCCAGATAGAATGCCAGATAGAATGCCAGAAGATATGTCAGAATATTTGCCAGAAGATATGCCAGATAGAATGCCAGATAGAATGCCAGAAGATATGTCAGATAGAATGCCAGAAGATATGCCAGAAGATTTGCCAGATAGAATGCCAGAAGATATGCCAGATAGAATGCCAAATAGAATGTCAGAAGATATGTCAGATAGAATGCCAGAAGATATGCCAGAAGATATGCCAGATAGAATGCCAAATAGAATGTCAGAAGATATGTCAGATGGAATGCCAAATAGAATGTCAGAAGATATGTCAGATAGAATGCCAGAAGATATGCCAGAAGATATGCCAGATAGAATGCCAGAAGATATGTCAGAATATATGCCAGAAGATATGCCAGATAGAATGCCAGATAATATGCCAGAAGATATGCCAGATAGAATGCCAGATAGAATGCCAGAAGATTTGCCAGATAGAATGCCAGAAAATATGCCAGAAAATATGCCAGATAGATATGTCAGAAGATATGCCAGAAGATATGCCAGAAGATATGCCAGAAGATATGTCAGATAGAGTGCCAGAAGATATGCCAGATAGAATGCCAGAAGATTTGCCAGATTGAATGCCAGAAGATATGCCAGAAGATATGCCAGATCATATGCCAGAAGATATGCCAGATAGAATGCCAAATAGAATGTCAGAAGATATGTCAGATAGAATGCCAGAAGATTTGCCAGCAAGAAAATGTATAAATGTCATGGTGGGGATCACACGAAGTAAAGTAATTTTTTTTTGTATTATAAATTGTAAATATATATATATATTATATATATACACACGGAAATGGGGTTGAGACCGTCAGGTTTCCGCTTCGGTCCGATTCTCGGAAAACCGGTATTGCGGATTTCCCATGCTAAAAGGATGTTGCCATAGGCATCTTTACCGGCAGGGTGTAGGAAAAAACAAAAAAATGTGCATCAGATCAATGGGATATTCCCTTACATAGGCCTTAATTATGTAGGCTTATATATGGTAGGTACCTCCAATTTAGGATCCTGGAATGGCCATTGATCAGACGGAAGGTATGTTTGCTGTATTTGTTGTTTTTTTGTTGTTGCCGACTGTTGATAAAAAACCACGGATATCCGGAGTTATGTCACCCATCATGGAACAATCAAATCCAGTTGGAGACAATATATATAATTACCAGTAGATTGAGGATCACCCCTTCTATGGAATTTATCCTGCTGATTTATGTTTTACCTCATTGATTCTTCCGTGGATAAAGATTGGGTTGTGATGTTTGTCAGAAAACAGATTACCCTCTGGTAAACGTTTACATAGCTATGGAAAATCCACCCATGTTTAATGGGAAAATCAACTATTTCGACTGGGCCATGTTCAATAGCTATTTTGACATAACCAGAGGGTACTCCAAGATCCATAGATCCATTGGAGAACAATCCTTTTCCATGATGTAAAGGAAACTCCCATGAATTCCCATGACATAAAGCCCATTACCATCTGGTAAACGTTTACATAACTATGAAAAATCACCACTTTTTATGGGAAAATGTACTATAAATGGCCATGTTCAATAGTTTTTCGTATGTTTACCAGAGGGTAAATCCTGTGTTTTTTTCAGCACACCAAGTCCCCAAGTCCCTGAAAACCACACAGTTGTGGCCAGCACAGGCCAAGGAGTTCCAAACCACCCGATGCTTTCAGCGCCCTCGGTTTCGAAAAAATCGCCGCAGAATGTGGCCGAAAAAAAAAGTCATCCTGGGATAGAAGATGAGAAAACAACACTTAAATCCTCAGAAAAATGGTAATCGGTTCTTGACATGTTGATCTTCTTGATCTTCTTGATCTTCTATCTACTTCAGGATGGTTCTAGACACACCAAGTCTAAACTCAGGTATATTTAGGTCATTTAGGTTTGGTAATTGATTGCCACCTATTCATTGGCCAAAATGATGTTGTTCCCCCATAGCAGAGGGATGATAATCCCAAAGGTTCGCGTATGTTTTGGGTGTCCCATTTCCCAAGGCGCGTTCGGACCGCTAGGACTTGATGTTCGAATTGTTTTCTGAATTTCTGTGCAGATGTTTTTCACTGTTGAAGTCACAATTGGATGTGTTTGGTTCAACTTTGGAAGCGGAACGCATTTTCCAGCTCAATCGTTTGATCCTTGCCCTCGATTTCGCTGATTCAATTCCGCATCCCCGTGTGCCCCTGATTTTCCCATGAATTCCCGATGATAAGTGGTACTGTTTAATGTGCTGGTAAAATCCTCGTGACTCGTTTCTGGACTTAGATGCATTATATCTCCAATACTATCCTATTATATATATATTGATTTATTTATATATATATATAGATATAATATAAATATATATATATACATATCCATTAAATACCTTCATTATATTATATATACACATGTATATTTACATGCTAAGGTGCGGTTTGACCTTGGACGTTCCTGCGGTGCATTTTTTCTGTGGCCATTCGTGTGCAGCCTCAGAGTCCGATCGCCTTTGATCCCGTTACAAATTGGCGAACAGGCCATATACAACGACATACAACTGGAGATATTTAATGATATTCATACTATATATATATAGAGAGAGAGAGAGACGATTATAATAGACGTAATCACATTTTATATATACATGATATATACATGATATATCCTGCTGTTTTACAGGTTTTTGACGTCGTGGCCCCAGCTCAGTGTATCGTTGCTGCCGTCTCCACGTCAAGAACTTCAAGGTGCAGGGTAGGTTGCAATGGAACAGCCGTGGGCTGTGGCCCTGGCTTTTGCTGGGGGCTGGTTGCTTCGTGAGTGGAGCACTCCTCAGAAGGTTGAGGAACCTGCTTCGTGCCATTGCCAGTGCTCGTTCCCTGTTTCGCCTGCTCCTGAGCACGTCTCATCCTCATCATCATCCTGGTTGGTTGCATTGGTGGCTATTGTCCTATTGGTGGTTTTTGGAAACACTGCTTTGGCTCTTCGCATTTCATATCAAGATAGCACTACTGGGCAAGACAAGACTGTTTCAGTGGCTGTGAAAGGTAAGTCAAAGGGTGTATACAATAGCCCAGTAGGACTGACGGTGGCAAATTGAGATGGCAGCCTTAGCTCCTGGATCTCTGATGTTTGTCAGCTACGGAGAGGTGCCCGAGGTTTATCACACACGTCTCATTCTAGATTGGGTCAGTGGACTGGAGTACGTCATTGCCACCCCTGACCTTGACATTTATCCTGAGACTATGGATGCTTCAAACCCCGACTTCACCGATTGCGTGCCCGCACTACCAGGTGGGTTGGTGCCGCCTGGTATCAACCCCAACTCAGTCTACTCTTTTGCTCCCATGACCGCTGCTGAATTGTCTCAGTTGTTGGCTGCAGGTCGAACTGAAGCGGCATTGGAGAGGGCAAGACGAGGAGTGGCGGCTGGAGCAGCTCCAGCTCCCGGTGCAGCGGCCCCAGTCGTGAACGAGGTCTGGGTCTTGTCGATTTTTGTGAGGGCATGAAGCTGGGAGATCGGGTTAATCCTCCGGCTGGGCATCCTTCCATGGGCGAGTACGGGTTGATGACTATTGGTGTAGGTCAGGCGGGTCAGGTTGTTCTCATCAAGCGCATGAAGGAAGAGGATATTCCTAGTTTTTGTGAAGAAAGGGTTCAAGCCCTTCGTTCCATCGAAGCTTCAGCTGGAGAAGACAAAACCGTGGCAGATGATGTTCGCACTCTGGAGGTACGGTATGGTGCCAACGGAGAACGGTTGCGCACATTCAGGGAGAGCATCAAAGAATTTCAGCAGGTAGAGTTTTTGGATTTCCCATTAGCTCCACGTACTACGCTGGATTACTGCCGGGCGATAGCCGCTGTGAGTGAAAGTGCTGTGGCCCAACATCACATGTGGGTTGGAGCTTCGAGGATACAGGAGGGGGACCGTAGCATATATGAGGATGAAACATTGGCTAGAGTTTTGGATGCTGCTATCACTTACGACAGCTTGGATGTGAGTAATCTGTGCTGCCAGGGATGCCTTCATATCTTGCAGCTGATCATTACATGGGACAATCGTACCGTGCAGGCGGGGGCATTGTCACCCCGAGCCTTACTGATCACGTGTCAAAGCAACTGGCTGCGCAGACCGCCATCATGAAGGAGAAGAGGAAGATGGAAGAGGCCAAAGGTGGACAGAAAGGAAAGAAGTCAAATCCAAAGGCCACCCCTAAGGATGGGGGTGGCAGTGGACAGTAGTTTTTTCACCTGTGGCAGCGGACGGTGCAGTGAGCGTCAGCTGCTTGTGGCCTTCATCACTGCAAGGATGGTTGTGCATGGTCGGTCCAATCGTGTTTTTCATTCTCCAGTTCCTGACCATCGGACCCGTGATGTTTTTCCTCTACCGCAACTTGTTGTGGAGGAGCTCAGAGATAGGAGAGTGTGCAGGAGTGTGGCCAAGAGAATTCATCATAGAGCTGAGATAGCCAAGAGAACAAATCGGGTCATAGCTGCCTTGAATTCGCTTTTTTCGGGGAGGAGGGCTGGGACGGACGTTCCTACAGGTCCTACAGTGAGAGCTTTGGATGACCTGCCGTTGAATCAGCGGCTTGCCATTTCCGATATCTTAAAGAATGTCAAGAAGCTCGGTCATCCTCCTCTGCATTTACATGGCTCTGAAGCCCTCAAGGCGCTTCGAGCGGCCAGCTCCACCTATGGCTTTCAGGAAGCTGGCGTGGGTGACGTTGTTCCATTACATCTTCACTATCTTTTGCTTCCAGAGGAACGGGTGGTGGGTGTGGATCTGGTGGATGCGTTGCCGGAGTCGCTGCAGAGTGTTGTGACAGATTTTGAAGATCATATGCTGCAACATGCTGATGTTTGGACGTCTTTTTCGTCTGACCTCGATTCATTGCGGCCGTATGATGATCCATCTTTGAAGAAGAGGAGTGTGTACCTTGATTTTGTGAGAGAAGTGTATAAACGGGGCATCATTCGTTTTTCTCAGAATTGTCGAGGCAGAGTATTTGACACGGTGCTTTTACCGTGTCCAAGAAGCCTAAGGTCATTGACAATGTGGTCACCCCCCGACAGAGATATGTTTTGGATTGTAGACTTGTGAATGCTATGTTTAGACCATCGCCGCACACAAACCTGGGATCACTCACAGCCTTGAGTGAGATGTATATCCCAGACGGTCAAAACCTATTCATCTCAGGTGCTGACATTAAAGACTGCTTCTATGCGGTGCGGGTTGATGATGCATTGAGTGATTTTTTCGGCTTGATGCAGGACATCACTGGGGATGAAGTATATCGGGCGACTGGTGGTGAGTGTGGTGAGATGTATTCGGATGACATGTTTACTCCTGCAGTCAGTGTGTTACCTATGGGGTTTAGTTGGTCTTTTTACCTAGTGCAGTGCATACACGAACATTCGGTGTGTCGTGCCCTGGACATCGGCCGAGAACAACTGGTTTTAGAAGGTTTTCCAGCTCCCCTTTTGAGTGGTGGCGAGTGTGTTGCAATGCCATACTGCGACAACGCCCCCGTGCTGTCGTTCTGTGAGGACCTTTGCAATGCTGGTAGCCTTGCAGCTCAGAGCGATTTGACGTCGCTGGGCTTCACTACTCACGAGGAGGAGCAAGCAAATACCTTTTTCAAAACTTTGGGTGGCGTCGTTGACGGAGTGGCAGGGGAAGTGCGCACCACGCCGGAAAGGGTTTGGTTATTGATGTTTGCTTTCGAACACATTGCATATCACAAAGTACATCCTGATGTCGTTCAGCGTTTACTTGGTCATGCCATGGTAGTTTGTACAATCAACAGGTATGGCATGTGCATTTTTCGGCACTTATACGATTTCGTGGAGCAGGGGGGTTCGCAGCGTTTTCTCAATCTACAAGCTAGGAGCGAGTGCTTAAATTTTCTTGGTATTATCCCAATGTTATTTGCATCTATGAGGAGACCCTGGTGTACCACAATTAATTGCACTGATGCCTCACCGATCGGATATGGAATTTGCCAATCTGAAGTTGATGGGGAGCGGGTCCAGAACATCGGACGCTGGCAGGAGAGATGGCGATACAAGCGCCTTCCGCCTGCTGAATGGGCGCCAAGGAGACGAGCGCTTGGGCTGGATGTTTTTGGGTCTGTTTCTACGGTGGTGGGATCTAGCAATTGTGATTTTGGGTTGGAACATGTTGTTGATAACGAGATTTTTCCGGAGGTACCTGTTGAAATTCTTCATCCGAAGCTTTGGAAAACAAAGAAGTTTGGTAGATGGGGCAATACTTCGGAGCATATTACTATCAAGGAGGGTAGGGCGCTTGTTCTTGCAGTACGTCGTTTGTGCAGAGCATCAAAGAACAGAGGGAAACGTCATTTGTTTTTGGTCGACAATCTTGGGCTGGTTTTAGCTATCAACAAGGGAAGGGCTCACAACGTTGCTTTGTTACGTATTACTCAACAAGTCTCGGCTTTGGCTTTAGCAGGTGGTTTTTCGGTTAGGGTGAGATGGGTTCCTAGTGAGCTGAACGTGGCCGATGGCCCCTCACGTGGGCAAATCAAGCCGGGTTGTTTCAAGAAAGCAGCATGTGAGTCAGCCTTCAACAACAGCTATGAGGGTGTTGCCCCATACGGAGAGAAAAACAGTGACTGGCAAGCAAACTACCAGATGTTTGAGCAGAAGGGCTTTGAGTGCGGAAGCAAAAATGAGTCCACCGAGGACATCAAAGAAGAGAGTGCTTGCTGGGAAAGAGGAGAAGATAGCCGTTCCCATGAAGAAGCGAACCATTCAACGCCTACCCATCAGGGAAGAGGCCGACGTGGGGAAGCGTGCGAGACTGAGCAAGCTGACCTTGTTGGAGGAGAGGAGTGTCTCCAGCGAAGTTCAGCATCAATATGGTCAGCACTTGAAGAGGTTCGAGAAATTTCTGCCGGGAGGAAGGCACCAGCTGGCCACCAGACAGGTGCGACGAGTTTCTAGCCGACTTCCTCGACTTGGAGTTCATTCAAGGAAAGGCATCCAGCGAAGGAGAAAAGGTCGTAGCGGCAGTGGAGTACAAGTTCGCCGCGCTGCGTGGGAAACTGATTCGGAGTCGCAGAGCATTGAAGGGATGGAGGAAGGAGAGACCTTCGAGTTCCAGGCTGCCCCTGCCACGAATGGTGGCGTATGGGATGGCCATGACAATGTTGGCGAAAGGTATGAACCTGCATGCACTGAAAGTGTTGCTCGACCACGACACGTACTTACGTCCTGGAGAAAGTTTAGATCTGAGAGGAAGAGACATCGTTTGCCCAGTGAAAGGCGCAGGCAAGCAGTACCAGTTCTACTCTGTGATCGTGCGCAACTCCCTGGACAAGAAGCCAGACAAAGTGGGGGTGTTCGACAACACAGTGCTCCTGAACAGCAAGGGTCGGGAGTTCATCGGGATATGCCTCAACCAGCGTGTGAAGGAGCTGAAGTCAAAAGAGGACAAAGTCTTTCCTTTCGATGCGGCAAAGCACAAGAAGATCTTTGTAGAGTGCGGCAACCTTCTGAATCTGCCCAATCTCCACCCGTACCAAACCAGACACGGGGGAGCCGCAGAGGACCTAAATGGAGGGAAAAGAGACCATGCAGCAGTGAAGCAGCGCGGACGTTGGATGACAGATCAAAGTGTACGTCGTTACACAAAAACTGGCAAGATTCAACAAATGATGTCCCAGTTGTCAGCAGGACATCTGGAGTTCTGTCGTTGGTCGTTGCTGAACATGGAGCGAGTTATGATGGGTTCAATATCGCCAAAGATGCCCTGACAAAGTTAGGATGGCCAGATGTTTTTCATGTAAATCATGGACGTTCAGCATTTTGCGTGGAACTTTTTGCAGGTACAGCTCGTGTCACAAAAAGCCTCCTTAAGCGAGGTCTGCTATGTTTCCCAGTTGATATTTGCATTGATCCCGGGCATAATATTTTGGATGTCCATGTACAACATCGCATTCTACACTGGATTCAAGGTAGAAGGGTTCGTTTTATTTGGTTGGGTATTCCTTGCACTTCGTTCACTCGTGCACGTAAAGATGATGGGTTGGGTCCTGGTCCTATTCGTAGTTCTCAATTTGTGGAAGGCCTGCCTTGTTTATCACAGTCCGATTCGCAAAAGGTCCGGGAGGGCAATGCTTTGTTACAGGTGTCACTTCGACTTTTGATTGCGTGTGAGCAGTACAAAGTCGCTTATGCGTTGGAGAACCCCGCTTCAAGTTTTATCTGGGAAATGCCGGCTATGCTTGGATTTATAGGTTCCCACAATGTTACAACTGTTACCCTGGACTATTGTCAATTTGGAGAGCCTTGGAAGAAACCAACCACAATTATTGGAAACTATTGGGATCTTACTCCATTGCAACGTAGATGCACCACAGTTAACAAAAAGTGCAGTTGCACCCAACGGCCACATGTTGTCCTTGCAGGACGAGATAGCTGCGGGGTGTTCTGGACGCTTCGTGCCCAACCATATCCGGTGGCCTTCACCGAAGCAGTGGCGACTCAAGTGGCCATTGCCTTGCAATCCTAATTGCAGGGTTTTGGGAAGTGTCATTTGAATGGATGGTTGGATCTACAGTTCACTCTGTTGTGGCTTTGGTGTGACCGAAGCACAGACCCACTAGATCACAAACTTTTCAAACAAGTAGTGCAAAGCACTCTGGCAGCAGAAAAGAATGAGGAGCTGAGCGAGTGAGGACCAGAGTCATATCCTGCTGTTTTACAGGTTTTTGACGTCGTGGCCCCAGCTCAGTGTATCGTTGCTGCCGTCTCCACGTCAAGAACTTCAAGGTGCACCTCCACCTACCCCTACCTCCTCCTTAGGGAAGTGTCATTTGAATGGATGGTTGGATCTACAGTTCACTCTGTTGTGGCTTTGGTGTGACCGAAGCACAGACCCACTAGATCACAAACGTTTCAAACAAGTAGTGCAAAGCACTCTGGCAGCAGAAAAGAATGAGGAGCTGAGCGAGTGAGGACCAGAGTCATATCCTGCTGTTTTACAGGTTTTTGACGTCGTGGCCCCAGCTCAGTGTATCGTTGCTGCCGTCTCCACGTCAAGAACTTCAAGGTGCACCTCCACCTACCCCTACCTCCTCCTTAGGGAAGTGTCATTTGAATGGATGGTTGGATCTACAGTTCACTCTGTTGTGGCTTTGGTGTGACCGAAGCACAGACCCACTAGATCACAAACTTTTCAAACAAGTAGTGCAAAGCACTCTGGCAGCAGAAAAGAATGAGGAGCTGAGCGAGTGAGGACCAGAGTCATATCCTGCTGTTTTACAGGTTTTTGACGTCGTGGCCCCAGCTCAGTGTATCGTTGCTGCCGTCTCCACTTCAAGAACTTCAAGGTGCACCTCCACCTACCCCTACCTCCTCCTTAGGGAAGTGTCATTTGAATGGATGGTTGGATCTACAGTTCACTCTGTTGTGGCTTTGGTGTGACCGAAGCACAGACCCACTAGATCACAAACTTTTCAAACAAGTAGTGCAAAGCACTCTGGCAGCAGAAAAGAATGAGGAGCTGAGCGAGTGAGGACCAGAGTCATATCCTGCTGTTTTACAGGTTTTTGACGTCGTGGCCCCAGCTCAGTGTATCGTTGCTGCCGTCTCCACGTCAAGAACTTCAAGGTGCACCTCCACCTACCCCTACCTCCTCCTTAGGGAAGTGTCATTTGAATGGATGGTTGGATCTACAGTTCACTCTGTTGTGGCTTTGGTGTGACCGAAGCACAGACCCACTAGATCACAAACTTTTCAAACAAGTAGTGCAAAGCACTCTGGCAGCAGAAAAGAATGAGGAGCTGAGCGAGTGAGGACCAGAGTCATATCCTGCTGTTTTACAGGTTTTTGACGTCGTGGCCCCAGCTCAGTGTATCGTTGCTGCCGTCTCCACGTCAAGAACTTCAAGGTGCACCTCCACCTACCCCTACCTCCTCCTTAGGGAAGTGTCATTTGAATGGATGGTTGGATCTACAGTTCACTCTGTTGTGGCTTTGGTGTGACCGAAGCACAGACCCACTAGATCACAAACGTTTCAAACAAGTAGTGCAAAGCACTCTGGCAGCAGAAAAGAATGAGGAGCTGAGCGAGTGAGGACCAGAGTCATATATATATATATATATATGCTTATTATGTGTATGAAACTGGCGAATCGAATCTGATTCGCCACACCAAACAATGGATGTGTCATCCAGGGTATTGGTGGTTTCTCGGGAAACCAGTGGGTGATGTGGGTCAGGTCTGATGGTCCCCATGTTGTAACCAGTGGGGGATGGACTTATACCATAGATTTCTATAGAAATGGTTGGTATTTTTTTGTAGTTTGATCATATTATTGATTCTTGTGGTAAACCCAACATTGGATTTAACTGTGGATTCATTTTAGACGGTCTTCCTGGCAGAAACGTATGGCTTTGGACGACACATTCCAGCTTCAGTTGCATGAGTGTAGACTGAAATGATGAGGGGGTTGAAACACGCACTTGTATTCATCCCTTTTTAAGATGATGAATTCAATTCATTTGACTGATCTTTTTACAAAGCAAGTGCCAAAATTACCACCCACTTGTTAAATCCACAGTATATCATGTATATCTGTGCGCACTGGATTATTGTCAGAAACTTTGAGTTCAATAGACTGTCTTTCAATGAACCGCATTGATCTTGAAGTTGCCCTTCATAGAATTCTGGGTCGGGCAGATGTCTAGGATCTTGTCTATGATGTTGGATTGTCACATGCCGTTGACACTTGCCATTTTACAAAATGTTATCAACAAGTTGCTATAGCGAGTTTTCCCAGTATGACTGGTTTTTTGGGATCTGAGGTATCACGCGTATTGCACACCTTCGGATGGCACTTGCCCGAAGTGTTCCTCGGGGGCTTTGCCGAAGCTCTCGTTGAAGGAATCGAAGGGGATGGACAGAGGTTCCACCAAGGTGTTTTATTTTGTTTGATATACCCTCTGGTTATGTCAAAATAGCTATTGAAAATGGCCATAGAAATAGTGGATTTTCCCATTGAACATGGTGATTTTCCATAGCTATGTAAACGTTTACCAGAGGGAATATGTTGGTTGCCCATGTCTGATACATCTGAGATATTCTGAGATCATCTGAGTTTGTGTAAGTACCCTCTGGTAAACTAACATAACTATGGAAAATCACCATTTTTAATGGGAAAATCCACTATTTCTATGGTCATTTTCAATAGCTATTTTGACATAACCAGAGGGTATTTGTTTTGTTTTTTGTTGATGTAGAATGCAGAGCGGAACTCCTTGGTTTTTTGGGATGGAATTCACCTGAACCTCAGGAGCAGCGCGAAGCCTCAGCACGGAACGTGGAGGATTCCAAGTCGCCTCGCTTGGTATGGCCTGGTCGGTGTACCTGATTGGTGCAGTTATGGCCATGGCTACCAGTTATAACTGGTTATTTCAATGGGATTATACATTCTATAAATGGGGTTTTGTTAGTACTGACAGCTGATAAATGGCCATAACTGTGGCTTGAAATAGAATGCCACTGGGTTTTTTTGTGGGTCTGCCGGAATTGCAATGGAAAGTCCGACTTCGAAAAAATCACGCCTCGGGTCCCAATATGTCCCAATGCCTCGGGTTGATTTGTTGGAGGTGAACTTAAATAGACTTGGTAATTCAAACCAGAAAGCCACAGAAGTGAAGGGAAGTACCCTCTGGTAAACTAACATAACTATTAACTATGGAAAATCACCATTTTTAATGGGAAAATCCACTATTAATGGCCATTTTCAATAGCTACGTTAAATTACCAGAGGGTATCACTTCAGTTTCACTACCGAGCAATCTAAGAGCAATCCAAAGCGCCTTTTTTTGAAGCTGGAGACTGACATCAAAACTTGGCTTTCTGACATATCATATCCAGGTGAGATTTGGGGCCCGAAACCGTAGCGTTTCGTTCATAGATCCTGTATGTTGTTGGGCTAAGTTGATCTGAACTGGTTCAACGGGGAGATTTGCTGAGATTGGCTTCTACTACTATATTGATGTGATAGTGGTTTCGATGGAAACCTGGTGAGGACCATCCATAGTAATATTAGGTACTATTGCAATGATCCACATCAACTGTTCCATGCCCACAAAGTTTCCCCATGATCTTCCCCGAGCCGAGAAGTTTCCGAGAAGCTTTCACGGTGGTTCTCACCTCCAAAGTTCCAAAGTGTCCATCATTTTCCATTCCCAGAATTCTCCATAGTCTGTCTGGTGCGTTTTACGTAGGGAATTTTTGGGAATGATCCACTGGCTAACTATCAAACTCATCATCCCAGCAACCCCCAGCAACCCCCAGCAACCCATCCAGCAACCCATCCAGCAACCCTGCGCAAACGCACCAGTAAGAAACTGGTGGATGAAGTCAGTTACCATCTGGTTATGACTAACATAGCCATGGTATAGATGGCCCATAGAAATAGATGGTTTACCTATTAATAGCATGGTGGATCTTTCCATATAAATCACCATTTTCCCATGGTTTTCCTATCATTTTTCCATGAAAAATGGTGATTTTCCAGTTCGTTATGTTCTGATTTTCCCAAGATCGGCTCCGTGAGGACTTCTTTAAGTACCTCCAGGGTGGAGCCGGAGATCATGGTGTACAAGCCATGGGAGAATGGTGCCGCCGCCTGTGGCGTTTATGCTTAAAGAGAAGGTAACGGGGGGGTGCTTGAGAAATATCATGTCCTATGGATATGTATGTTAATATGTGCGGTATATTATATGTATGATGTATGATATGTATAATATATATATATACACATTAACATGTGGAATCGTATTTTGTGTACGTGTGTATGTACATCCAGAATTGTAGGGTATGTGATACTATATATATAGATGTATGTATATGTATGTATATCTATATATGTTAGAGATAATCACATGTGTAATCATACATCACAATTGTATGTATCGTCGTCTATAGTATAGGCTATAGCTATGTTTGTACATGTAGGTTATTAGTTTTTAGTTTCGGCAGAATCAGAATCCACTGGGTCAACGATTGGACCGTTGTGAATTGGTGTAATTTCGCCTGTCTTTTGTGTTACCCTTTGGTAATTTATTACGTACTGGTAGCCATTGAAGCCATGGCCTATAAAAGATTCGTTGATTTACCCACCAAAAATGGGTGGATTTTCAACAGCTATGTTAGTTTACCGGAGGGTATATCAGTTCATCCAAGTTCATCCACATCACAGGAATAGAAAAATCACAGTTATCAGTTACGATTCCTCTGTTCGCGATGTTCTACACATCACTGGTTGGTGATGTTTACATATATCTTTGATGTTCGACCCCAGGGTAAAACCACGATGCAATAGAGTGTTGATTCTGTTGTTTGTTCCTCCATGTTGCTAAAGTCCACATGTTGGCAGACCTCCATGAAACAGATTGATGGCAGAAAGCTAAAACAGCAATAACGGAATATAACGGATATGTTGTTTACCACGACGATTTTTCACCTGGCAATGGTGATGGTCACACAAAGTTTTGCTATGATAACCAATATATGTATATCCCGGAGCTTGTGTTCATGAAAAACTGGGGAAAAAAAAACATCCATCTTCCATCAAACCCAGGGCCGCCATTCTTCGTCGCGTCTGACAGGTGCAAGTTTGGTGCTTTCGACGCTGGACTGGAAGCCGGCATGGAAGCCTTTGAGGACCTCACTTGGACGATAGCCTAATGTTTGCTCAATGTTTAGCAATGCGGGCATGGGGATATCATGGGATAGTCAAACATCTCCAAGAACCAACCTCTCTTCAGAAAGGCGAAAGGCCAAGAAACTTCCAGCATCCGGAGCCACGTTTTCAGCATCACCCCACATCCACAACAGGACGACTGAGTGGTGCTACGGGTGATGGCCAAAGTGCCGACGCTGATGGTGAGATGCCTTCAGTCACAAAAACCTGTTGCCTTCTCCTGGCTGTGCTTGCGGTGATTTTGTTATTTTTGCCATATTTTGCCCATGGGAAATCCACCAGAACTATCCAAAACTGGGAAATCTAAACGGGATGTTTGCTGTATTTGTTTGGCTCTCTTACAGGTAGGTAGGCAAATTCAAGTTTTTCTGTACGGTAGGTTTGAGGATAGTTAAGTGTTGTGTTTCCTTCCCATTCTGCAATCTCCTGGGTGCTCGAACGTGCCATTGTTTTGGGATAGTTTAGCACGTATACTGTAGCCAACCACTCTGAAAAAAGAGAGAAAATATATACATACTGTATATGTTGTACCTATACCCACTTATTATAAATGTACAATATATATATATATAGTACTGTAAATATTATATATATATAAAGTAATATAGCTAATGATAAACCATGAAGATCCATGAAGACCAGAGGCATGTCGTATACGAAATGCATCGAACATCGAACGGCTGCGCCTTGCCAGGTTGCGATCCTCAGCCTTGGCTCGCCCTGCTTGTTCTCCTTCTATCCCCGCTCCGGGACGGAGGCGTCCCATGGGAGCGTTTTTGGGTCCAATGGCCTGACCGTTGGATACGAATCCGAAAAACGCCAGGATTGCATGAAGTGGGATCCTGCGAATGACGTCCCTGGCGGTTTCGAGGTGCGGACTTTGGATGGCCAAATATCAGGAGTTTAGTCTGAGTAAGTGGTTTATGATCCATACAAAACCCATATAATCAATATCATCCCATATGTAATATAGGGGATATTCATGGATAATTATTCCATATATGTATATATATATATACATATAGGGGTATAACCCATCTACGTCACGTGGGCTGCACCCCCAAGTAGGGATACAGTTGAGGGTTTTTTTCGAGCGGGGAAAGCATGATCTGTTTGTTTCCAGTCATGGACATGTGACAAGAGATGTGTAATCCAGACCAGAAAAATCAAGAAGTATCCCTACTAATTGATCTGGGTAAATTATAACGACCGAACCCTGTTCTCACCCTGGAATCATGGTTAATTAATAAGGGAAATCATCCCCAAATGGCCGAACTTTTCAGGTTAGTGAAATTATTAAATTTACCCAGATTGATGAGTTTCATGGCCAAACGGATCTTTTTTCAATGCGCCGATCTTCATACGCAAGCTGCTAGCCAGCAGAGTTTTTCGAAACAGCTTGTAGCATCAGTTTCGGTGCCCAGCAAAATCTATACAGCACCTTCGGTTGTGAGTTTCTTTTTGGACTCCAAAAATCTCAGTCAGAGAACCAACTGGTGACGAATATTGGGATTCCAGGATTTTTCTGTTCCATGTTCTTATATACATATAACATATATATATATATATGTATATCATGGATCCTGACTAGAACCACCATGTTTTTATATAGGGATGTTGGTGAATCACCATTGCACCATTGCATTGCGCACATCACTCAGCACTTCGCTTCGCACTTCGCGACTCTGCCAGATGGGTCAGCAAGCCCTCAACACGGTCTTCGTCGAGCCCAGGACTTGCCATTTCACTGCGGATTGTCCAAAAAAAAAAATGGTTCGGCTCGAAGCCAGAGCACTCCGTTTTCTGGGAAGGCATTCTGGACATTTCTGGACCATGATGGTTTGATATGTTTTGGAAATGGCATTTGGATGCATTTTTGGAGGTCAATGTGATTTGTTTTTGTTGTTTTCAGTTGCCGCAGTTGCCATTACATGCCGGCCATCGCATGGGTCATAGATTATGGCCTGCGGTTAGAGGTGATATGTTTGTAGAAAGTCGCCCCCCATTGGTCTCAAAAATGGCGACTGTCCGGAATTAGCATTGGAATTCCAGGGGGGAACCTTAAAATATATAAGCACAATATGATAATATGATATAATATGTAATATGAATACATGTTGTGTATACAGTATACAGTTATATAATGTTATATACATACTGTCTTTATGTAGATTAGTGTTGACATTTGATGAGTAAATCCCCCTCAAACATCAAAGGGGTCATGTCATGGCCTGGAGTCCCTAGAAATGTTCCACATCGGAGCTGAACAATTTGCCTACATCATCGAGAAGAAATACATAAGTCTGGTTGGTGGTTTCGAACATTTTTTATGACTGTCCATTCAGTTGGGAATGTCATCATCCCAACTGGCGAACTCATATTTTTCAGAGGGGTGGGTATACCACCAACCAGTAGTGTGTTGTTTTCTGTTTAAATGGCATTGCCGAAGAAATTGCCTAATTGAGAACGCATACAAAAGTGGCGAGGACTACTAACTGGATGTGAACAAGATATCTATGCATATTTGTTGGTATATATATATATATATGTATATACGCACAAACGTATGTACTGTGTACTATATAGACAATTATACAGGTATATATATATATATACATATGTATATTATATATATATATATATTCTTGTATGTATATATATATATCTATCCATATGTAAGATATATATATATATACATAGATACTCTACATATTATCAACGTCAGATCCCCAAGGAAAGGGGTTATGCATGTTTTGCTGCCCTACGAAAAGGGCCAATCAACCTGTGGCGTAGGAGTTTGTTGGTCTTCAGTGGGGGCACTCAGTCGGGTTTTAAGCACCGGAGAAGAGTCCCGGATTACCATCCAGTGAATTAATCTGGGCAAATTATAACGACCTCACTGTGACCGCACTGGAAGCATGGTTAGGATTCGGGGTAACTATCCCAAAAAAGCCCAACTTGTCAGGTGAAATATTTCAATTGGCCCAGATTAATATTGATGTGTAACTTATCTAACTATTAAAACTGATTTAAACAGTAACATTGTTGGTGGACTACAATTGATTGATCCTGGATTACCATTAATTCAAGATGAACTATGTAAACCCCCAGAAACACTCAGAAACCATGGTTTGGTAGGGGATTTAGACATCTTTGGGACCATAGAATGAAGTCTTTAATATTAGGTGAGATGGGATTGATATTGATATGTGCCATGGTCAAAAGATGGATGCACTGAATGAACCTATTTTCTGCCACAATTTGCCGCCGATTTCCTTTCAAAGACTGGATGAGCCTTCTGTTGCAATCCGCTGGTGAGGATATTGAAGTCAATTAGGTGCATGCATGTCTTGATTAACCTGGTCTATTCATCTTTCTTGCCCGCCAGCAGTGCCTGGGATTTTAGAGATTTTGCAGTCTTTGGGACTCACGTGCGCGTCAAGAGATTGATTATATAATATATTATAATATTATATAGCAATATTGGGAGATGGTCATACTCCACTCAATAGGACATAGTGGTCATAATCCATTAATTGCCATTTCATTAGAATCTATTCTTATCATGGAAATATCACCAACAACATGGGGATATCATGGGATAGAGGAATGGATAATTCATCCCTTCCCTCTATAGTAATATTAAACACCCCACAGCCCAGAAACGAGGGTTTCATATTGGATTTCGGCGTATTTGGGACCATAGACTGGGGTGGGGAGATGGGATTTAAAAAAATTGAGATGTGCCATCGTCAAAAGATGGATGATGTAGCCATATTTAGATATATTTAGGGATGATCGTACTCCACCAGGACATTTCATGGCCAATGGCCACGGCTGGGGATTTTCAATTTCATGGTGGGATGTCCGGCTAGCCCATGTCCATACCATCTTTTGACCACATGGAAAAACCATTGGCTCCCCAGAAGATGATCATGATGATCTAGAAATCTGGAAATGCTGGCTGTGTCATATTTCAAGTTAATGGATGACTAGTGGATGGCAATTCTAAAGCTCCATAACTGCTTGGCGGTTTCAGACTTAGAATAACCCACACGTGTCTATTGATTTGACGTTTGAACGCCAAGTGCCAAACTTGTAGATTGAGTTGAGTTGGGTGTACAATTTCGAAGTATCCGGCAAAGATGGGGGAGACAATATTGTGGTCAGCAAAATTGGGAGTAAATGGAAGATAGTACTCAGGAATTGCTTGGTGGGCTGAATTTTGTGAAACATTAGATGTTGATATGTTTTGGATTTGTTGCTCGACCACCATTCATATGAAGATTATGTGACGAAAAACCGTCCTGTGAAATAGTCTCGATTGTTGAACCATCTCCAGAGTATTTTTTTAATACAAAACCAACTTCGCAGGATTCCCGGATTCTCAAGGCATTGTGTGTACTGTACTGGTATGTGTATATTTACCAACATTTACCCTCCAAATCATTAAATGGCATTCCGTAGGTGAATCTAGCATATATATAATCATACATATATCTGGGTAAATTTCATCACGACCAAACCCTGTTCTCCCTCACTATAATCATAATTAGTAAGGGAAATGATCCCCAAGATAGCCTTAATTCAGGTTGGTGAAATATTATATATATACTACATCCTAATATCTCCAGCATGGGCTCGACCCTGGTTTTTTAGGGGCCCTGGTTCCAGCTGGTAGGTCAAGACGCCTTTTGGCACCATCGTCATGGGATCGACGCTGCCGTCCCGTCCCCAACTGCAGCACTGAATGTATAGTGTGCTCTCTGAGACAGGTGGCATCTCATTTGAGATATTCTATATCTAGTCAATCTAGTCAGTGGATTCCTTTTAAGGTCATCATTGCTTGATTTTTATGGGACAATCAGAGGGTCGTCAGCTGCTGTTTTTTTTGGCAGCCACTGGGCTCAAAGGAGCGTCTGGTGATTTCAGTGAGCGTCGGCTTTGCAATCCAGCGATGAATATTCGGGCAGTGCCTGGGTGAAAAAGCCAGGGTTTCTTGAGTCATGATACCCAAATCGCTGGATGGTTGATTGAAAATGGAAAATCCATCGATATCCATCTATAAATGGATCATTTAGGCGTAACATAAAAAATGTTTTTGAAACCTCCTTAAATGAGCAGTTTCAAAACCCAAATGTTGGGCGATTATTCTATGGGGCTATACTAGTCAAATCTATTCAATGTACTGGGGATTGTCGCAAACCATCCGAGTAAATCCGGTCAAAACCAGTCGGCAAGTTCCAACTGGGGAGATTTGATATGCTGAGTAAATGTTTCAGCAACTTTGAGATGAACAGTTTCAATCCTATATGGGGAAACTGAAGGACATTAAAGGTACTTTGATCTTTGCTATATGTGAGATGTATATATATATATATACACACATCATATATGACACAGGTATACACTCTACCTATCTCTATCTATGTGTATAAGTATATATAAGTACACATAATATATATATATATATATACACACACTGACCGTAAGTAAATGTTCCTTTTTGCAGGGCATCTCGTTTTTGGCCACGCTTTTTGGGTCAGTTCCAGACCAAGGCTGAGGAGCTTGCTCATGGCACTGCTCCATGTAGAATATAGACAACAACAACAACAAACAACAACAACGGTTAAGCATGATATTAATGATCATATTAAGGATTATATAATAAAATTATATTGTATATATATATATATATGTATACATGGTAGTCAGCATATCGTATTTGTACACATATATTATACGCTCATGTCTAGTATAGAGAGGAAACAATTTCCATCAATAGACATGGTTGACATTTGTATACTATAACGTTGCGACAGGATCAGCGGTTCTGAATGGTTGGCGATTTGACATACAATTCCCTTCAAGATCTCCTTGGACAGGTTTTTCTCCAGCTGACTGTGTTTGTGGCCTACAAAATGCTGAAAGTTCCCGGTGCAGCCGCTGAAGGTTTTGCTTCTTGCCATTGGTGTCTTCCATGCGCATGGACACCGAATCGTCTGCCTGCACCACGTTGCCGTTTGGTGTGAAAATCGGCAAGTGCTGCACACCGCGCTGCAACGGACGTGACGGAGACTTGGATGGTTTGGCGTGGGTGGCCATGGTGGAACCCGGTTTTCGCTTCTGAGAGGGAAGGACATCTTCTAGACCCAATTTTCGCCGTTGATGTATGAAAATTAGATTTAGTGGATGTAGAATTTGGGGGTTTATGATGTATTCTTTCTACAAATTGTTTGCTGAAAATGCGAAAAGCACAAGGAGATCGCAGAAGTTGACGATATTTAGCGTTGAAAGGATTGCAATATTATGATTCCAGATGGGTGTGTCTGAAATGGGATATGGGATATCCTGATAAGAAACATGGGCTTCTAAGCTCTAAACCATTGGAATTTGCAGTAGAAAATTTCAGCCAAACTCATGATTTCATAAGATGATGTTCAAGTTGTGACATGGCATATATAAACAACACAAAGAAATCTCTGAAAGGTCAAGGTCCTACTCCTCTTTCACTTTTTGAGGGATCAGAGTCTTGCAAGGACGATTCCTGGAAAACTCCCCTCTGTTCAATGGGTCCTTTGCGTCGTGATGATACCAGTAAGGGTGCTTGTTTCATGTTGAAATATGGGTCCTTTATCCATCTTTATCCCAGTATTTGTTGAAAGGACCATCTGCAGGAGAACCAGTATAGTTCAGCGGTCCAATAGATTTTCCTTTCACCAAATCCGTTGCAACTCATGTTTGATGATACAGAAGATCATCAAATCAATCGTCAATCGCAAAGTATATCTCGTCTATTCCGCACAGTAAGCAGAATGGGTTCCATCATGTTCCATCAGCCCGGTAGAGTGACCTGAGACTTAAAAAGTGATATCTGGGAACGTTTAAAGGAGACCACTAGGCATCTGTGTGTCTGAAAATGATGTATGCTCCCTAGCCATGTCAGCTTGAACAGAAAAAGTATGAGTAAAGGCAATGATATATATATATATAATCTTTGGATTTTGAGCTACTCTATTTTTAGCAAACCCAAGGTAAGTACTACCTTACAATGTCTACTCTCAGTGGGATGCTTCCAGGACACAAGGAGCGTACGCGCTTGCAGGGTGCTATCCTCTCCAATTGCGAGATGGTCATAGAAGGAGAGGGTTCGGGGGAAGTTCCAGGTGCCTATGGGCCCTTAACAGCTATAAATGGGTTTATAATGATATAGAACCTTAGGTATGGGGGGATATATGTCCATTTATATTTATAACTGTTCATGGCCATAACTGTGAGGCTTCTTGAGGAACTCCCCTTAAGCCATGGCGGTTCGGGGAGCCCCGAAAAATTGGCAGAATGTCCGTAGAGGCTCGAAAAAAAAAATGAGGATGGAGGAATTGCATTTTCAGAAACCAATTGATGTTATTGGTTTTGGACTGGGTTTCTCAAGTGGTGATGGTATGCTGCGGCCACCTTGGTGATTGAACATCAAGCCATGTTTAAATGAGAAAACCGAATCATATCTAAAACATTCTAAAACTGGATATCGGACATCGGAGAAGCATGGAATATCTTCAGCCTGCCGATGTGCGATCCGCTGAGCCCCTGTTGACTATGAATGATGAGGAATGAGCTGACTAGTAGATTTCGGAAACGCGTAAGAAACATGCGTAAACGCAAGTGACAGTCACCTTTTTTTATTAGTAAGGCATAATCACTATTTTTAATGGGAAAACTCACTATAAATGGCCATTTTCAATAGCTATGTTAGTTTACCGGAGGGTAAGGCATCGTAAAGCAATGCTTTTTCCAACCAGCCATCAACCAGCCATCCTGGTTTGGATTGATGTTTGGAATCCCACCTGCTGGAGATTGGGGTTTTCCGACAAGGCCCAGAAAATGGTTGGTGCAAGGTGGGGCCTCAGTTTGTTCACCAGATTGGTGAACAATGGTATATATATATGGGTAAATAATAGCGACCTTACTGCGACCTCACTATAATCATAGTTAGTAAGGGGAATGATCCCCAAGATAGCCTGAATTCAGGTTGGTGAAATATAATTTACCCATATATATATATGTAATAAAACATAATAAAACATCATAAGACTAGGATTTCTGCTGGAAAAATCACGAAGAGTTCCGTTCACAAACGCCCAAAACGGTCTTTTCCTCATTCCGCAGGACCCTTCAAGGTGAAAAACGCCATTGGCAAGTACTTTGAGCCAGACTCCGAATGGATGAACAGCTATGTGTGGAAGCAACGCGACGGAGGCGGGATACGAAGGGATTGGCTTGGCGAGTTGGCCAAGCCCCGAAATGCAAAGAGATGAGGCACATGATTACTATGTATAGATAGAGTTCAATTCAGGGTGTATCATACATAAGTACGCTACACTACATTACCTTTCATTACATTACATTTCAAGACGCTGCAATACACAACATAACATGATATAACATAACACACCACACCCTACCATACCATAATATTACCCTCCATTACAGTACATTACATTCCATTACATTACACTACACTACATTACATTACATTGTGTACATACCTACACACCTACATATCTTAAGTCAGACAAGGGTACATACATACATGCATGCATGCATGCATGCATGCATGCATACATACATACATACATACATACATACATAATTAATTACATCACATTACATCACATTACATCACGTTACATCACGTTACATCACATTACATTACATTACATTACATTACATACATACAATCATGCAAACAAGCAAACAAGCAACCAATCCAACAAACAAACAAACAAACATACAAACATACATACATACACACCTACATACGTGTATAAGTGTATAAGTGTATTAGTTATAGTACATGTCGTTTTTGAAGTAGGATTAATTTTCATTTGCAGCGTCATTAATTTTTGGTTCGTATGCAACTATATCCACAGAATTCAAGTCGCGGACACCTCTGGAGGAATCTACTTGAAGTTTCTTGTGCAAGAAGAAATTCAGTGACGAAATTGCGGTTAGGCGTTCCCAGATTCACCAGTCGCAAAGGAACCAACTCGGATTCAGCAACTCATGGTCGGAAGGCAACTAATGATTCCACAACTAACTAATGGTCGGATTCCGCCATGGTGTTCGCTGCTTCTCTCCCATGGTGAAACCTATCATCCCGTGCTGGGACAGTTTTTTGTGTCGTCCAGGTGCATTGCCCAAATTTCCAGAGTCGGACTACATTTGCCACGAGCGTTGCAATGCAAAATGGCCCGAGACCACCCTGCGCAACTACAGCCGCTAGCTTCAAATTGTATCCAGCCGCTTGCAAGACTCAATTTCCATTTAAAAGTTGTCTGATCAGAACTTCCAAGTGCATGTGTTTACTGTGTTCCATCCTACTTTAGCTTCTGATCCCAATTATTCTCAATTGAATGTTTTTTTTTAGGGGAATCGCAACCATCACGCAGTTTTGGTTCGGGTCTGGGTCTGAAGGCACGCACTTTTGATGGTCGTGTTGCGCAACAAATCCCGTCCCCTTCCGTCCCTTTCAGCTGAGATCGATGGCAAAACGAGGCAAACATCGGGGCTTTAGCTACTGATCATGAATGAACATGGGGATGAAGTGGCTAGCTGGAAAAAAGATACAGTGGTGAGGTGGGTGGATTTCATTACCTTGGACCTTGAGGCCAGAGGTTGCCGCTGATCGATGTCTATCGTTCCGGAGGAGTTGATACGGAGGATGACAATGAAACTTGGCAAAGGTTGGATCTTGAGCCAGGTACCGGGCTACCAGCAAAATGGATCAATATGGGATTGACCATGTCAACATGTAAATATGGGGGTTTTCATAGATGGGGAATCCCCAAAATGGATCAGAATGGGTGGTTTGTCATGGAAAATCCATCTATAAATGGATGATTTACGGGTACCCCTATTTCAGGAACCCACCATATATGTAAATACAGAATCCCATTTTGATGGTTATCATCATCAACCTGATAGCACTACGACAAAATTGTGATAGTCATCAACTAGTTCGATGGGAAGTTAGCAGAGGTAGAATGGATTGGGTAGGGCAACGCCTTTTTTTTCAATACAGGCACTTTTTATTCCACGAATATGCAACCAGGGGCAATAACCCAAAATGGGTGTGTACAGAAACGAGGGATCAGAAACCCTGCCATGGAAACCCCAGCTCGCAGCTCGGGGGTCTGGAGTCTAGCACAGATCGAGATATATCCAAAATGGATCGACCCATATCATGTCCAGCAGAGGCTCAAGGTCTTGAAAAAAGGGGGCATAATGAGATACAATATAGTGATAAAGCCAATCATCATAATTTTACGATTTATAACGTAAATGTTATGTTATATATATGATAGTCTAATTATATTGAATTGTTATATGTTATGACATGCCTCATGTTCCTGTATACTTTGGGCACTGTTCACAATGTGATACACAGTAATGTTGAAAAGGAGGAGGCCTGACCCAAAGAAAAAGCATATTCACCTGCAAAATGCACTCCTCCAGAACAATGATGGTCATTAGGTTCAAATGTGGCAAATTCCGAGAAGAAAACCTACCTTGGGAAAGAAAGTCGGATATATCTCCACTTTGAAGCATTATATACAGTAGAATACAAAACCTGATGTATGTATGACATAAAATGCAAGATGCAAATAGTTCAGGTCATGTAGTTATTTTTTGTGTAGCCAACATCTTGAAACATGGAAATATATTGCTTTGAAGCCTGGCAATGCACTACTGTAGTGTTTTTATATGATTGTGGTTCAGTACCACATTCTTTCGAAAGAAATTAGTAATCTTTGAAAGCACACCCATAAATCATATATAAGGCCAATTTGAGTTTGAAAAGTAAGGAAACTCCCTGGTGTTTTCAACCGGTTGTGGATATGTTCAAAAGATTGGTTACCCTTGATGCACTGCCATCAGTATCTTCAAGCAAAAGCCCACCACAAAACCTGATGATCCTGTTGGTAGCCAGGTGGTATCACACCAATGCCCTGCCATGGCGCAACCTGTCACAGTTGAAATTGTCCTTTAATTGACTGTGGAAGAACATGTAATGTTAAATGAACAAGACTTGTAGTTT